AGTAGTATTAAGATCTACATTATTTAGTTTATATGTGGCATGGTTATTTTCCTGTCCAACATTTAGAACTTTGCATTTGTCTATTTAAAGTGCATCTGCCACTTCTCTGACCATTGCATCAATCTATTCAAATCATCCTGGAGTGCTCTAGTGTCCTCATTAGAATGAATTGGATGGCCTTTTTTGGTGTCATCAGCAAATTTGCTTAGGTCACTAATTATTCCCTCATCTATGTCGTTTATGTAAATTGTGAACAACAACAGGCTCAACACTGACCCCTGCGGAACACCGCTTGTGACGTGCCTCCATTCTGATTTCTCCCCATTTACACAAAATCTCTGCTGCCTATTTGTCAGCCATGCCTCTACCCAGGAATAAATTTCTCCTCCTATTCTGTGTGCCTTAAGTTTCCTCAATAGCCTCTGATGTGGAACTCTATTGAAAGCCTTACTGAAGTCCATATACACAATATCATATTCATTACCATTATCTACCTCCTCAAACAACTTAGTGAAAAAAGTTAGTAAATTTGTAAGACAGGAATGCCCCTTGGTAAAACCATGTTGAGATTCATTAATCAATTTATGTCTATCAAGATGGCTACGAATTGCATTGGCAATTATTGATTCCATAAATTTTCCCACTATGGAGGTAAGGCTTATTGGGCTATAGTTTGAAGCTAAGGACCTGTCACCTGCCTTGTAAATAGGTACAACATTTGCCATTTTCCACTTATCAGGCACTATGCCAGTTTGTAGTGATATTTTGAAAAAATTTGCCAAAGTTATGCTAAGTTCCTCTTTACATTCCTTTAACACCCTTGCAAACAGTTCATCAGGGCCTGGGGATTTGTTAGGTTTTAATTTCTCAATTTGTCTGAGGACCATGTCACTAGTTACCGCAATCGTGCATAGTTTATTATCGTCCTGTTCTACATAATCTATTATTTCTGGAATTACGCTAGTATTTTCCTAGGTAAAAACCAAGGGGAAGTAGGTATTGAAAATTTCACACATATCCTTATCACTGTCAGTGATCTGACCAGAGTTACTCTTTGGGAGGATAAATTAAGTTTTTGGATTAGAGCCTTTCACTAGCATCAAGGTACGTACCTCAATTAAGAGGAAGCCCTTTCCCTTCACATTCTTTAATACCAGGGCATCAACTATGAGCTCACAGTTTGTGTACTAATTTTCATGGAAAAGCGATAAATTCATAGTGGTCTTGCAGCACCAGAGGAATTACAGGTTTGATCCTAAGAAGTAGAGAGTATATCTTAATTCCTTGGATCACGAGTCCTTAATCAGCATCAAGCAACACTCTTAACAGGATCCTGATAATCAAGATCTCAATGCACTAATCTTCCACCTTGCTTATTTGTTGTGTCACCTTACCGGCTTGCTTATTGTGCACACCATGTTCATCCTGTGAGAGGTGGTGCAAAAGAATGGATTACAGGTCACAATGGGTCTATCTGACCCAACCTGCATAGTTACATCTGTACAATTATAATAATTTTATATACTCTTATGAAGCTAATCTACAAATACAATACAGATAAATTATCAAGTAAATTCCAAGATCATTAATAGCCAATGTAAAATATGGATAGAATCTGAAGATTTCAGAATTATCATTAACAATGGAGTGATATGCCATTTCCTGTAAAATTTATAAGGATATCTCTATATGACTATGTTTGAAAATTAATATACGTATATTGTTATAACGTATGGCCCTGTCTCTGGCCCCACTACGTTTCATGTTACTGACATTCTTTACAAACTGTACTGCCAAATACCTGTAGTCTAGCCTTAGTCTAGTGGTGACAACTTACAATCTATTGACCTTACTTTCTTCTTAATAATGTAATCAATTTGAATGCTAAACCCAGAAGGGTTAAAAGCACAATTTACCCAGTGGATTTTACTGTAATTCCACAAGTCTGTCATATCAAGGGCAGTTAAATGAGGTTTACTGTACTAGTTCCTTATTATGCTTGAATTTTTTTTTTTAACAAGTCTGCCATCTCCCATCAAGACAGGGTGACCCAAAAAGAAAATACTTTCATCATCATTCAACACTTTCACCTCACTCGTACATAATCACTGTCTTCGCAGAGGCGCTTACAACAGTTTAGAAGTCCCTCCAAACTGTCAATATCCCAGACCCCTCCTTTAAAGTGCAGGCATTGTACTTCCCATTTCCAGTACTCAAGTCCGGCTAAATCTATAATAACCGGTGTCCCAGAATCCCTTCACTAAATATTACCCTGCTTACACTCCAACAGCTCATCAAGTCCCAAAAACCATTCGTCTCTATTTACTCCCATCTAACATTCTCACACATGCTTGCTGGAAGTCCGAGCCCTTCACCCACAAAACAACCTTTACCCCCTCCCTCCAATCTTTTCAAGGACGACCCCTACCCCTCCTTCCTTTCCCTACAGATTCATACACACTCCAAGTCATTCTACTGTGATCCATTCTTTCTAAATGGCCATACCACCTCAACAACTCATCTTCAGCCCTCTGACTAACACTTTTAGTAACTCCACACCTTCTCCTAATTTCCACACTCCGAAATCTCTGCATAATATTTACGTCACACATTACCCTTAGACAGGACATCAGCCACCTCCTCGCTGCAGCATTTACAACCCAAGCTTCACATCCATGTAAGTGTTGGTACCACTATACTTTCATACATTTCCTTCTTTGCCTCCAAAGAAAACGTTTTTTTGTCTCCCCAGATATTTCAACGCACCACTCATTTTTTCTCCTGCATCAATTCTATGGTTAACCTCATCCTTCAAAAACCCATCTGCTGACAAGTCAACTCCCAAATATCTGAAAAAATTTACATCTTCCATAATCCCTCTCTCCAATGTGATATCCAATTTTTCTTTATCGAAATCATTTGATACATTTATTAAACAAAAATACCAACCACTCCAACACCGGTACAATTGCTAAGTACTTCTCATTTGTATATATCTTGAGTTATATACATATATATTTTTAACTATGGTTGTCTCCTGCCAAGGCAGGGCAACCAAAAGAAAATTCGTTCACCATCATTCACTTAATCGCCATATTTCAATAAGTGTGCTGACACCACAATCAGATTACCCTGAGAGTTCAACATTCCTACCCCATCAGAGAGCAGGCACTGACCCTCCAACCTCCATTACTCAAATCCAGCTCATTGGTTTCCCTGAATCCCTTCATTTAAGTTACCTTGCCTACACTCAAACAAATTCGTTAAAAACCCACCTCTTTCCATTCATATCTGTTATATACAAGAGGGGCCCCACTTTACAGGGTTTTGCTAATACAGTGGTTTTCAATTATATCCCCTCTTCATTTATTTAGACTTCTTACAATAAATATATTCGCCACTCGCTATAAGCCAAGGACAAAAATATTTAAAGGTAAGTAATGTGTATACTACATGTCCATTTTTTCGACCTAGCTATATATTACTCACTTGATATATGATAGTGTAAACATGCTATTAGGATTAAATATTCATTTAAAAGTGAAATAAAGCTATTATTAACTTTACAGACAAAACCTAGAACCTAACCTGGTGTATAAGCAGGGCCTGCCTGTACTGTATATGCTTAATACATTTAATAGGCTTAGTATTTCCATGTAAATTACTTTTCATTTGTATGTTTTTACACATGCGCACACACAGGCTGCAGGAATTTTTTTTATATGGTACACACTTACCACACAGATCCAATCCTGCATATCTAGACTCAAATTTACCACTGACAGCTTATCTGAATGAGCTAAGCTCATGGCATAGTACTATGGCACAGACACTGCTGTCAAAGCCGTAGAACACCAGCATGGACACCAAAAAGGTTAAGAGTAAGCAAGGGAATGTAATATATATGAAGAGTTAGTTAACCAGACTTGATGGGAAATACTGTATAGTGTGTGCCACCTGAAGGATGGTTGGAGGATGCAGATCTATGTATCACTGGAATTACCACTGTGCCTAAGCAAGTAAATCTGGAAATAAATCATCACTAACTTGCTTAGCTAACAAATGTTGAGGACCAGTCCCTGGACCCATAATGTGCCTTTGTAATCACTTGACTTCTACCCACTGGATGGACATGGGATGCCTAATAAAGATTTTTTCTTCTTTCAACACATCGGCCATCACCCACCGAACCAGGGTGACAAAAAACTTTCACCATCGTTCACACATAATCACTATCTCTGCAGAGGAGCTCAGATACAACAGTTCAGATGTCACTCCGAACAGCAAACATCCCAAGCCCCTCCTTCAAAGTCCAAGCATTGTACTTCCCACCTCCACGACTCAAGCCTGGTTAACTGGTTTCCCTGAATCCCTTCACACTCCAACAGCTCATCAGGTTCCAAAAACCATTCATCTCCATTCATGCCTGCTGCATGTCCAGGCCCCTTGCACACAAAACCTCTTTTACCCCCTCCCTCCATCCATTCCTAGGATGACCCCTGCTGCTCCTCCCCTCCACTACAGATTTACACACCCTCCAAGTCATTCTATTTTGCTCCATCCTCTCTAAATGACCAAACTGCCTCAATACCCTCTTCAGCCCTCTGAATAATACTTTTTTTAACTCCACATCTCCTAATTTCCACACAATGAATTCTCTGCATATTTCTTTTTTATGGAAAAAGCAGCAAGGAGCAAGTGATAAATGTAAGTGGCAAATAAGACACCAACACCTGCCAAGGTTCAAACAAATACATTACAGTAACAGCTAATTCACCCAACTATACTGGGTACAATATTTAAAGTGACAGTGCTATGATGCACTGAACATTCTCAAGATTACACATGCCTACTGACCTCCTGATAGTTAATGCAATCACTACCTTGAAACTTAGTAATAAGACACAGAGATTAAACATTTAGACTTATTTTCTTACCCTTTCCTTTATCAAATAATAAAACTTTGCATTAGGCAACAAGAGGGTGTAAAAACACTTGCAAATTGTTTATACATTTATTGACACAATTCACAATATCTCACCTTACTAGAGTGAAGAGATGAGATAACTGATGGAATGTGACCGGACAACCAACGAACTTCCTTAAACAGCATCACAACTCTGTTTGAAGAGGTTATCGCACCTAAACTAAGATGAACAGGAAAGATGTTTCATCACCCTAGCATTAACATCACAAAAGTACTTGTAGTGTGAACTGTAAACAAACTGTATATAATATAAAATTTTACATTCAAACAATGTTTGTTACAGAACATCACCCATTGTAACTATTATACAATAAGATCTTAAAGGAAAAAAAATATACACTAACTCATGATTTATAAAATCATCGTTGAACCTATGAATGCCCATCAGGGAAGTCATGATGGGTAGGGCTGGGAAGAGGCCTAGTGGGGGAGGCAGAGAAGGGAGTGAAAGTTGGGGATCACCTGGCTAAACAAAGTGGCGACTGAAGGCACGTCCCGAAATTCTGCATTCTCCAACAAACCACACTGCTAGTTTAGTCCCCTTATGAGTGTACTGTAGATGTAGCTTGGAAGTCTTCTTTGCTTGTTCCAGAAGGTAATCCTGTGAAGTCCAAAGTTACATTACTTTATTATAATACTCAAGATATTTTTTAACAACCTAACTTTAAATACATACACCTAGCTGACAAAGCACATCAATGTCTTGGTATACTAAACAGGAAACTAACGTGAAAATTTCCTTGATAAAAGTCTCAAGGAAATGAGAGAGTTCATACATCAAATTCACAAAGTCCACTGATACATACCAGTTTTATCCTAACATACTTCATGTTATATGTAGCATACATTTTTTTTTTTTTTTGCTGACTGGTATATACCAGGCAGATGTATCAGTGAACAAGAAAAAAAAAAAACCTTCTACAATGAGAAACAAATACATAATACATAGCAGAATCAAGTTGTGCAGAAAACATGTTCACAAAATAGCCTAGACTGGTAAAGATGAAGTCCTACACAAACTGCACTCCCTATCTGAACTGAACCATAAACTAGATGAAGTAGGGCAAATTTTACCACCCAAGAATGCCATTATATCCTTTCAAGCAAACAAAAGTCCATTCCAACAAGTTATTCTTCCTCTACATGATAAATCTTATGATAGGGTCTGCTGTAAAGCACGTTTTCATGGTCACTGTAAAACACCCACTTACCTCTAGAGACAAATTAAGTGGTACAGACAAAGCCTTGTTCGGCTACATCAACGACAATAGGCTCGACTGGTAAGACAGTAGGTGTAGTCAAGAAAACCTGAATTATTGGATCAGGACAATAAATATGAAATAAATACAAAAGCTTAAAAACAATACAGGTGAGTATATCCCAAATGACCTAAATGAAATTTGTGAAGGACTACAGTAAGCAAGATTCTTGAAAATGCCAAATAAAACAAATGTAAATCTATTAACATATCTAAGCCTTAACAATTATTTTTGTGTGTGTATGTAGAGGTCTGTCTTAAAATTTTGTTACATGTTAAAATATATAACTACCCACTGAAATTTAAACATGATTTTGGCCAAAAAAATGACAAAAAAGTTATATACTGTATGTATATCCCTTATTACATATACTGTATCTATCAGTCTCTACAATAGAAACCTTACCTCCAGATGCATGAAAAATGATTCCCCTTCACTGAGAGAGATTGATGCTCTAAAGTAGTCAAGGCAGAGGACTGCTGCTGATGCGGCATTAAACACTGTACTGGTATTAATGCCCATAACCAAAGAATGACAAGATTATCAAATACTTGCTGCAAAATCCCCTCATCTCAACATTTCTCTTCCTCGGTCATTAACCATATAGACAGTTTTTGGTAGAACTTAATCATAGTAGAGGGATGAATAAAATCTGTTGAATAATTTATGGGATTTAAAAGAAAAAAAATTGTATAGTATATTACAATATTTTGAAGCATAAAAACTATTTTGAGTTTTCAGGTTTCATGGACCACTCTAGGAATGGTCTATCAATAAACCTCTTATTACACCAGTAATTGACTGTAACCACATTTCGTACAGGTAAGTCTATCGTTCTCCCTCTCCTGTGCAGTTGTGCTCCCTTGTCTGTGCCATCAGCAGCACACGCTCTAAGCCCTAGACAGAACAGCACAAACAGCAGCAGCAGCAGTTGATATGGGGAGGTAGCAGACACCATGGCACAAGGAACCTTCTACAAAAAGTAGTGTTTCATACTTTTAAATTATTCCATATTTAGGTTCCATGAGTCACTAGAAATCTTACCACAAGTACCCAATCCAACAGAGGAGACTGCTGTTTACTGGATAGTGGGTAAACAAACTACCATAGCACTGAAACAAAGCTCACAACCTGTAGTGTGGATAATTTTTGAAAACTGAATTGCTAAATTCATTGGCGAGGATACAAATACAGTATCACTTGTTAAGCATCCTTGTTTTTCTGTTAGTCACAAAATCTTTATCATCAAATTCTTACTTACACTTACACATGCACACATACATGTGTGTATGTGCAAGCACATACAAACAGGCAAGTACGTATGTATGTACATACATACACAACCACAAACAGGTGAGAATGCATGTACACACAAAAATGCAAGAGTAGTCATATAATTGGCTGCTTGAATTCAACCCTAATAAGTGAAAGATCATGAAGATTGAGTAATGAGCAAGAATACCAGAAACTGGGTGTAGACCAGAGGGACAGAGGCTGCAGACTTCAAAGAGAAAGACCTAGGGGGTTAGGATAGTGCTCAGATTCACCAGAGGCTCACACCAGCCGAATAACTTCTGCAGCCAATGATCAGGCAAATCTTAGGAGTAGCCTTCAGGAATCTCAACAAAAGTAATTTTTGGCTCTTTATGAAAGATACATTAAGCCCATCTTTGAGTATGTAGCACCAGTATGGAATCTGCACCTAAAAAAGTATGTTAAGAAACTGGAGAAAGTGCAGAAGTATGCAACTGGGCTTGTTACTGAGCTAAAGGGAATGATCTACAAGGAGGGGCTAATAGAACCGGACCTAAGGATACTGGAGGACAGAAGAACCAAGGAAGACATAACATAAAAAGTATTCAGGAAACTGATAAGATAGATTGGGATAGGCTGTTTGATGGGAGAAATTCAATTCAAGTTTATTCTCTATAAGGGTTACACTGTGGGGTTTACAGGTTTTGGGTATTGTGTGGTTTACATGTTATAAAATACTAATTACAGAGGGGGCCACTAGGACACCTAGCATGCCTAGGCATTTCGAGCAGACTTGGATTAATGGAAACTCAGGGACACTGCTGGATGTCAAAGTAATATAGGAGCCACTGGGAAGTTAGGAAGCATTTCTTCAGTCTCAGTGGTCAGAAAGTGGAATGATCTTATTGAGGAAGTGGAAGCAGGCTCCATACAATATGTCCCACAAGGGAAGAAAAAGTGAATCTAGAGTGTGTTAAGTTAAGAGGTAGGGACAGGATCTGAGAACTGATCCCTGCAATCACAAATAAGTAAACAAATAAACTTACACACCAAGGGCCTCTGACAATTTGAAACAAACACACACACACACACACTGATGTAATCTATTCAGCAATTTTGCATAATCAAGTGGCCAACCACACTTGTAGAGATCTCTCATCATCATTATCAAGATATACAAATGCTCTAATTTGGTGGCTCACCAGTCACTAAGGTATATTACTCTCCCATATTTATAATGACAGGGACCACAACATGCCATGGCTACTGCTATGAGGATGGGAGAGAGACTTCAACAATCCATTTAAAATTTGGATTATGTCAAACTGGACACTCGTAAAATCAGTATCAACCACTTCCTTACATGGCTTATAGTCACCCTAACCCAATTCAGGGATGGAAGAGGACTGTCTTTGCTTTCCAATATACAGTAAACCCTCGATACAATAGACGCCTGAAATAAAAGCTAATATTCACTGGGCAAACTGTACTTTTAACTCTTTTAATTTTGATGTTTATTGCAGTCTATCTGTAAATTATGAGTACAGTATTATATGATGTGTACTTAACTGCTTTTTCTGCCATATTTAAACATTTTGATTTAGTGAACACTGAGAATCCCTCTATTAATCCATTATATCAGAGGTTTATTGTAAAATTATGTTAAGACAAATCCAAAATATTCAATATTCCTCTTAAAGCAATTCTCAGGACCTGGCATGATTAACTGTGTCACTTAAGACCATCTGAAAAAAAAAGATGATGATTTCCTATACCAGAAGTATAAAGTAACCATGAAGATAAACTAAAGGCAAATGAGCTGCCAATGCCAAGGACCCTGACACCTCTAGAAAACTGGGTGCCAACTTTCTGGGGATTCTAACTGTGATTGGTTTTGAAAGCTCTTGTACCCCCACAACCCAGTTTCCCTGTTGACCGCCTGGTCAACTGGGCTGTTTGTGCTAGCAGCCAGCAGGCCTACATAGCCATCAACCCAGCAAATACAACCCTTGTAACAAGTTGCTACTCAGCTTCACCCTGACAGTATTTCTGACATCTGATGGTTTCACATTGAATCTTAGACTAGGGATGTTGATAGTGTTGTCACGAATTGTGCCCATGGCCTCCATGCTCTTCACTGGGTTTATTCTGCATTTTATTGCATATTTTCACTCCAGTAAGTTATAGTAGTGTGTTAATTAAGGACCAAGTGCTCAAGAATCTTCAATGTACATGTTAGGTACATAGCTCCTCTCTATTCCAGAGAACAATCTAAGTTTTTTGAAGCATTTACAATACTTTAGATATTCTTCTAATTCTTTGAATACAACCACTGTACATAACAGCTTTACTATCTCTTCTTCCTTGAAAGGTACTGTGAGCACAGAACAGTATTCAAATTGTGAGAGCATAAGTAATTTGAGAAGTACCATCATTAGCTTTGCTTCTTTTATTTCAAAAATTTGCATAATCCACTCTAACATTTTCCTGGCCTTTGCTGCATTTGCCTTACTGTGTTTTCCAAATGACAGATCAAACACAATTATTCCTAAATATTTTCTCTGTTTCTAGCATTTTATATGATTCACCTTCATTCTATACATTTTGAGGTCTTCATTCTTCCCATGATTAAGCAGCTGGGCATATGCTGATGAAAATTAGTTGACCTAAGATGATCCAAGTCATGAACTAAAGGATACACCCAAGGCAATAAAAATAAAGAATCCTACACCTAAGAAGTTTCTTTGCAACAGCTTGCACAGTACCTGAAAAAATCATCAGGCCAACAACACCTAGTTACAATGTTAGTTGTTTTCTCTTACAGAAGACAAGCAAAGGGCAATGGTACTTAGGATAATCCTACATCTGGTAGCTTGCATGGTACTGTAGGAGGCTGCATCTTTTGGGCACTCTTGTCTCCCATTTTGCACTTTCTTGTTGGAATGCTTAACAGTTTATATTCTGGTTACCAGTGATAATAACGGGACCCTGTATCTTAATATGGAAGAGAGGGCTTCTGTTTTGGCCCTGGCAAGAGGCCATGGGATCACAATAGTGTGATTATAATATTTCAAGAATCTCTGATAGT